TTAACCCTCTGACTCCCGCACCCCACCACCATTACTGGCAGGATTTGAAGGGGCCATTAAGGCAGAGCTTTCCACTCCGAGGGGGCAGGGGTGACCTCAGACGATTGTCGCCATTGCTTTGTTGGGACGGAGACAACACAGGTGGCAGGCTCCCCGGAGGCAGCCCCGGCCCCTCCACCCTCGGCGGGCCCCACCCCGGCCATGGCCGCCTCCAGGCTGTGCCAGGTCGGGAGCTCAGGTATGCGGAGGCGGGACAGCACTGGGAGGCAGTAGGAGGGGCCGGTGGCCGGGCGGCAGACCTGAGCGGACAGTCTCGTCTGACTGAGCCTGACGGGCAGGTGAGCAGGGGCCCGGGAGGAAGAGGCTCAGGGTCCCCCGGGTGTGTGTGGGTCAGGGACGGGGGCTGGGGGCCGGGACGCCCGGGTGTGGGGGAGGGGGGCTGGGGGTCCGGACCCCTGCGTCTCAGGGAAGAGGGGAGTGGGAACCGCAGCTCTCCGTGGGCCTCGTCGGCCCTCCCCTCCCTGCTGGTCCCCAGGGCACCTCCAGGCGGGCAGAGGCTCTCTCCGTTCTCAGCACCATGAGCGCCACCACCGGGTAAGTGCCCCCCTGCCCTCCCTGCCCCCCGCCCCTGACCCCGTGACCAGCCCTGCGGGCCGCGTGGACCCCAGTGTGGCCACTAGGAAGGGGCTGGGCTGCCGCCCTCCCTGCCTGGCTGGGCCCCTGCTAGCTCAGCAGGGGAGTGGGATCCCGGCCTCAGACGTCCCCGCTCGGAGCCTCGGTCCCTCCTCTGGGAACGGGGATGACTTCCAGCGTCAGTGCTGGGCGCCTTCCTGCCTGGGCTGGGCCTGGCCCTGGCAAGGGCTCTGCCATTGCCCCCGGTGGCTACCGACTCTCCCCTACAAAATGAGGACTGTTGACAGGGAAGCTGAAATCTCCCGGAAGGAGCAGCAAACAGGCACAGAGTTGGGTGGGAACAGTTGCATCGGAGGTAATCAAATTGTGTGAAGACCTGACTACGGGAGGCAGGACAAGACCAGGGGTTTGGCGGCTGAAAGGGTTTCTCAGTCCCTCTCAGCCCCACCTGAGCTTGGAGCTCCTGTTATTTTGGTTGGAAACATGGGGACCCCAGGATTCTTCTTGGAGAAGGTGACTTGGAAGGGGGTGTTGAAGGGAGGAGGCAGAGGCGGGTTTGGCTGGGGAGAGCCTGGCCCCGAGGGTGGAGGGCAAGATTCTCCGTCTGTGACAAACATGAATGCTATTGTCACATACATTCCTGTTTCTTGAGCAACCACCATGTCCTCAGCCCTCAGCTCCAGCGTTGTACTAACAGATACTGCGGTGACAAACACACCCAGGCTGCTTCGGGCGTGAACGCTCCCAAGAGCCCCCCAGACGGCTGCTGCGGGGGAGGGAATGGGGCAGGGGAGGTGAAGCCCCCTGCCCGGGGTCCCACAGCAAGGCAGTGGCAGGTGGGGGCTCCGCACCCAGCTCTGTCGTACATTAGACGCCACACTCCCACCGCCACCCAATAGCACCGCCTTCTCCGTCTTCTTCAAGCCCAGCTCTGGCCCTGCCCTCTCTCCCCTGTTGGAACCCTCCATGGCTCCCCACTGCTCTCCCAAGAAAGTCCGCACTGCCCTGCGGGATGCTCTGCGGGACCTGCCCCAGGTCCTCACGACCCTCTCGCCCCTCTCTCCTTTCACTAGCCCCGAAGCAGCCCCCAAACCAAGTGCCAAGTCCATCTATGGTGAGTGTGGTGGCAAGTAAAGCCCAGAAACTGGGTCCAAGGGAGGAGGGCTGGGAGCCGGACTCCCGGGTCCGAGGGAGGCGGGGCTGGGGGTCAGGACCCCTGGGTCCGAGGGAGGCGGGGCTGGGGTCAGGACCCCTGGGTCTGAGGGAGGCGGGCCAGCGGCCGGACTCGTGGGTTCCTCTCCCCACCTTGCAGAGCAGAGGAAGCGTTACTCCACGGTGGTTATGGCCGACGTGTCCCAGTATCCAGTCAATGTGAGTCTGGGGTCTGTGAGCCACCGTCTAGTGGGGGAAGCGACGGGTCGCTGAGAGCCACTAGGGGCCCAAGTGGAGGGAAGTGAGGAGATGGCCCTGCTACCCAAGGGCTCTCCCCCGCCGAGCCTCGGACGCGGTGTTCAACTGGGGCTCTCACGTCCACCGCAGCCTGCCACCCTGTCCTGGAACCAACCCCCGTCCTGGTAGTCAGGCTCCAGGGGCGATTCGGATGCATTCTGGGCGAGCAGACAGCCCGCAGCAGGTGCCAGGTAGTACCACCTGCAGCCAGCAGGGGGCACTGTGGCCGCCCACGCGAAGGCGTGGGGGCTCCGCGTGCCGCTGGGCGCGAGGGCGACCCCGTGTGACTGAGCAGAATCGTTCCGTAGGGAGCTCTGGGCTGTGATATTTACGGGGCCAGACTGTCTGGTCTCTGTCCCGCGGAACCACTGGTGGGTTCATACCGTCAACCTTTCGTGTAGTAGCCAAGCACTTAAGTGTTGAGCCGCCAGGGCCCCTCACTTAGAGAGTCTTAGATAGGATGCAGGGTCTCTGGGTGGTGCAACAGATAAGACACTCAGCTTCTAATGGAAGAGCTGGAAATACAAGTCCCCCCAGAGGCACCTCGGGAGGCCTGATCTGCTTCCAAAAATCACCCACTGAAACTCCATGGAGCACCCCGTCTGACACACGGGGTCGCCGTAAGTCAGAATCGACTCCAGGGCAACTGGTTAGACATTTATCAGACCCCCTGCCCTGCCCTCAAAGAGCCTCCAATCTCGGTGGGAAGACAGACCCCAAAGAAAGAGAAACAGAGGGTCTTGGGGGGGAAGGCGAGTTGAGGGGCAGGTGATCAGAGAAGGCTTCCTGGAGGAGGTGTTCCAGGCTAGAAGCGTCTGAAGTGCCCCGCCCCCTGCATCTCTGGCCTCACGCTTTCTCTGTGGCCTGTGCCAGCACCTGGTGACGTTCTGCCTGGGTGAGGACGATGGTGTACACACTGTGGAAGATGCCTCGCGGAAGCTGGCCGTCATGGACAACCAGGGCCGCGTGTGGGCGCAGGAGATGCTGCTGCGAGTGTCCCCCGACCACGTCACGCTGCTTGACCCCGTCTCCAAGGTGCTGGGGGGTGCCCTGTGAGTGGAGGGGTGGCTGGGCTGAGCCGGTTGGGGACCCAAGTCTGAGTCTTCACCCCTGTTCAACCTTCCTCTGTGAACACTGGCAAGTGACTCCCTCCCTCGTCTCTGCACCCTACCAACCTCATCTGTAAAATGGGGGTGATTGTTTAAAAAGTCAGGGTGCTTATTCCAAAACTCGTGGCTTGTCCGTCCCATGCCCGTACCTACTAACCACTGCTGTCGCCATTTTGTGCCATTACTGGCTCCGGGACCCAGCTCACCGCCCCGTCCCACCCCGCAGGAAGAGCTGGAGTCGTACCCGCTGGGCGCCATCGTGCGATGCGACGCGGTGGTGCTACCCGGCCGGAACCGTTCGCTGTTGCTCCTTGTGTGTCAGGAGCCCGAGCGCCTGCAGCCAGACGTGCACTTCTTCCAAGGCCTCAGCATCGGGGTGAGCGCTGCCCGCAAGGCAAAGATGAGGCAGGAAGTGGGCGGAGCCTGAAGAGCCTGGGCGTGGCCTTTACTCTGTGGGCGTAGCCTGGGGAGAGGCGGGGTTAGCGCTAAGGCAGGGTGTGGCCTGAGAGATGGGCGGGGGCGGGGCTAAGGGAGGTGTGGTGCGAGAGGGACTCTAGAAGGGGGCGCGGTTTGCAAATCGGTTGGACTCGGGATCCAGATAGGATGAGGAGATCGAATATGGAATCGTCTGAGGGTATAGACAGAACACGGGAGGGTGTGGGGAAGCAGCTAGCAAGAGTGTAGGGCCAAGTGTGTGATGCAGGGGATACGAATCCAAGAACACTGCAAAAAGGAAAGAAAAGAATCCCTGGGCAGGGCCACCACGTGTGGGAGCGTGACCTAGGGCAAGGACATGGAAGGCCTGAGTTCAAGGCGTGGGCGTGAGTCCACAGGCGTGAAGGAATGGGTCAGGGGCGTGGCCCAGGGAGGACAGTGGGTGGGGCCGGGGAGAGGCGGGGCCTGATTGCATGATTGGCAGGCGGAGCTGATTCGCGAGGACGTCCAGGGGGCGCTGCACAGCTACCGCTCGGGCCGCGGAGAGCGCAGAGCAGCGGCGCTCAGGTGAGGGGCTGGAGGGGGAGCGGAGGGTGGGGAGGAGAGGGAGGAGGCTGGACGCGAGGGCAGAGGGCCCGGCTTGCGCTCCCTGGGCCTCAGTCTCCGCGTCTGAGAAATGGACCGATAAGCCCAGCCTGGCACAGAACAGCGAGTTTTGAGTGGAGTCGAGCAAACTCTGGTTCAAGTCCTGCCTGGACCTTCCGGATATGTTTACCGGCCTCTCCGGGACTCAACTTCTCCCTGTTCCAGCTCTCAGTTTCTCCGCCCTCTCTACCCTGGCTCCCTTTACAGAAGCGCCCACCTCCCCAAAGCTAGGATTTCTCCCTCCGCGGAGCTTTTGGGCCCAATGTCCCTCATCCTGAGCCCCGAATTTCTCCCTCCTTGGGGCCCTCGGGCGAACCAGCCTCAGTTCCCCCTTCTCCCTCTGCAGGGCGACGCAGGAAGAGCTGCAGCGCGGCCCCTCGCCCGGAGCGGAAACGCCGCCCCTACAGCGCCGCCCGTCGGTCCGCGCAGTGATCAGCCCAGCGGAGCCCGGCGCGGGAAACAGGCGACCCAAGTCGGAGCCCATTCCCGAGGTGGAAGAGGCCCGGGCGCACGGCCTGGTGGCCACCTTCAACAGCGCTTACCCTGCCTCTCCGGACTTAGGGTCCCGGGGGCCTGACATGGCCAGTCTGCAGGCAGAGCGGGAAGTGGTGAGCAGACGCGGGGCCGGACTATAGGTGGGGCTACGGCGTGGGGCTCTGGTAGCATAGTGGCTAAGGCACTTGACTGCTAACCAGAAGGCTGACGGTTCAAACCCACCAGCCACTCCTCGGAAGGAAGGTTGGGCAATCCTACTTCCGTAGTGATACTGCCTCGGAAACCCAAGGAGGAGTCGCTATGAGTCGGGGCCGACTCGACGGCACATAACAACAACAACAACGGCGTGGGGCGGGGCTAGAGGCAGGGCTAGGAGGTTGGCGCGGGACCAGCCATCTAGAGGCGTGGCTAGGAGTTCTTGGCTGAGGGCTTCAAACCACCCGAGCAAGAATCTCAGGCTTCAGGAGCCCCACGCGTCCACGTTCTCTGGCCCCCAGGATATCCTGAACCATGTGTTCGATGACGTGGAGACCTTCGTATCCAGGTTGCAGAAGTCTGCGGAGGCGGCCCGCGTCCTGCAGCACCGAGAGCGCAGCCGCAGGAACCGGCGACGCGCCGCTGGGGGTGAGGCGCGCCCCCTAGTGGGAGCCTGAACACTCACTCTCCCGCTTCCTCCAAATGTCTCCTGTCTCCCTGGGGCCTCCCCTGGCACCGCAGGCCAGGTCGGACTCCTCATGGCTGACTCACTCTGACCCTCTGTCTCGTCTTCCCCATCACCCTGTCCGCCCCGCCCTCGACCCCACAGAGGGCCTGCTGACGCTTCGGGCCAAGCCGCCCTTGGAGGCAGAGTACACGGAGGTTCTTCGGAAAATCAAGTACGCCTTCAGCCTGCTGGTGAGGACACGTCCGGCCTGGGGTATTGGGGGCAGAGGGATGGCAAGGAGGAAGCCAGGTTCAAAGTGAACCTGACTCGTCCACGCCCCGCAGGCCAGGCTGCGCAACAACATCGCTGACCCCTCCTCCCCAGAGCTGGTGCACTTCCTGTTCGGACCCCTGCAGATGGTGAGACCCACCCCATGGGCCTCAGTTTGCCTCTGCAGCAGGGAGGTCGGGGGTTAGACTTTAGGAAGCTCTCGTGCCCACTCCCGCTCCCGTCGCAGATCGTGGACACATCGGGCGGCCCGCAATTGGCGAGCGCTGTGCGGCGGCCGCACTTGACGTCCGAAGCAGTGGTATTGCTGCGGGACACTGTCAACCCACGTGAACACGCGCTCTGGATCTCGCTGGGGGACTCTTGGACCAGGCCTGGGTGAGGGGCGTGGCTGAGGGCAGGGACTCGGTGATTGGAGGGGCAGAAGGGGCCTGAGAAGCAGGGGGCATCCTGATTGGACAAAAGGGTTAGCGATCGGTCTTAGCTAGAAGGGTGTGGCCAAAGAATGGAAGAAGGATACAACCTGGGACAAAAGCTGGGATCTGATTGGAGGAAAGGTTGGAAATTAGCGTGAGCGGTCTGACTATCAGATTGGGATAAAAGCAGCGGTTAGATGAATGGGGCGGGGCTACAGGGCAAGGGAGGAGCTTAGAAAAAGTGTGACCGACCTATAGGCTTGTAGAGGAGGCGGAGTCTGAGCGCTTCGCGGCTGACTAGGGCGGGGCTTAGGTGAAAGGGGCGGGATTTGTGTAGCTAGAACCTGGTTTGGAAACAGGCGAGTTTGAGACGCTGGGGCGAGGCTTGGCAAAAAGGATCAGAGGGGGAGTGGTTGGAGGAGAGCTTAGTGTAGTTAAAGGCAAGACTAAGCCAGAGGCCGACCCCCACAGGGTGGAGCTTCCCCCAGAGGAGGGGTCCCCCTACATCCCCGAGTTCTACAGCGGCTGGGAGCCCCCGGCCACCGACCCGCAGGGCCGTGCCTGGGAGGACCCGGTGGACAAACAGCTACAGCACGAGCGGAGACGCCGGCAGGTGAGGCTGAGGGTCAGAGGGCGGCAGAGACAGGAAGTCCGGGCGCAGGCCAGCCCTCCCTGACCCACTGTTCTCTTCCTTCCTCCAGCAAAGCGCCCCCCAGGTCGCTGCCAATGGGTGAGTGTCTGCCCAAGCTAGGTGGGGCAGCTGGGGTCCCGGAGCGCTGCCTCTTGACGCTGACCCCGCCTCTTTTCTTTCTGTCCCTTTTTTTCTCCATCTGCCCTTCCCGGATCTTGGCAGGTGGGTGAGGTGGTGAGGAGGCGGGGCCGGGGCTGGGATAGGGGAGGAGCTGGGAGGGGAGGGCGGGGCCCAGACTTGGATTCAGGGAGGAGGGAGGGCGCTTGAGGCCCAGATGGCGGGGTCAGAGGGAAGAGGGGCTGGGAGGGGGACCCTGAGAGGGTGAAGTCTGAACAGTTGGACCCCTGGGTCCTCAGGACTGGCAGAAGTAGGCAGTTTGGTGTTCGTGGGACTGGGAAGCTCCATGCCTGGGTCCCTAAGAGTACAAAGCTCAGGGTATTTGAGCGAAGAGCTTGGGGAATCAGATCATTGAGTTTGAAGAAGACCTTGGGTTGGGGTTGGGGAGCCCTGAAAGCTAAGAGAAGCGAGCTTGGGGCTTCAAGGGCTGAGAACAGGTTTCTGTGTTAGTGGTGAAGGCTGGGACAGTGGGCTTTAGGTTCCCCAAGGGCTCAAGCAATTGTCAAAGTCCCTGGTGGGTATTGAGGAGCTCTGGTGGCACCATGGTTAAAGCATTTGACTGCTAACCAAAAGGTCAGTGGTTCGAACCCACCAGCCACTCCATAAGAGATAGATGAGGCAGTCAGCTTCAGGAACGATTGACAGCCTTGGACACCCTGTGGTGCAGTTCCACTCTGTCCTCTAGGGGCGCTGTGGGTCAGAATGGACTCCAGGGCAGTGGGTGTGGTTTGGGCTTTGCTTCCATGAAGATTGACAGCTTAGGAGACCCTGTGGGCAGTTCCACTCTATCCTCTAGGGGCGCTGTGGGTCGGAATGG